ATCTCCTTTGAACCCGTGCAAGTGTTTTCCTTATTTGGGTAACAAAAAATTAAAAAATAAAGGAAACAAAATGATAGTTGTAATATCTTCTTTGGCTTAGTTTTATTAAGGAAATGGAAAGATTCTTTACAGAAAAAATATCTATAATATCATCTATCAATAGAATGCTAAATTAAATAGGATAAACTAGAAAAGTTTCCTTGAAAATTTTTAGGATCTTTACTTTTCTCTCTTCTTTCTCTAATTAGAGAAATGGAAAAATTAGAATTTTAAGGAAAGTGAGGATGCCCATTACTTTCTCTGCACTAATTATTTTAAGGGGGTGAGCATTTTGTCATTTCTTTTTCCTTTCCTCCATGTTCCTCAATCAGAACAGTCTGAGAAAAAGTTTCTTACCAAACTGGATTGAAAGTTTCCCTTGCTATAAGAGATCTGAGGTTCTTTTAATGAGCACCTACCATTATTCAAACTCCTAAATTAGATTCTTGTCATCTAACATATTTCAACCAGAGAAATTTCATTGGTGACTCTAGATTCCTTCACTAACAACTTGTTGGGATCATTCGTTCCACTTTTTGCCGTATTCTTGTACTAGGACGAAGATGCCAAATAGAAGATATCACTTCGTTCAACGTATGGGAATCATCCATCCCAAACCATGCAACATGGCATATTATTTTGATTTCATGCTTGTCCACAAGCACACTCTTAAGGGGAATGTAATATGATGTTAGGGTCCAATGCACTGAAACTAGGGGAGGATGTAGCAACAAGAGCAATGTTACTTATTATGCTAATTTCAGTAAATTTTAAAATTTGAAGAATATCCTTTCTGATTTTTCAAAGAGCAGTTGCTGGGTTTATCTTGGAAGTTATATCTCCATTACAATCCTATAACCTACATAGACTGAAAATTCAGGTATCTCCATGAAATCTATTAGGTCCCCTAGATTAGATCTTTTTAGCAAGTTCTCGTAGAAGAGAGTCAGGACTCAATAAAGAACTCTTTGATCTCTAAATAATAATGGTTCCTTAACAAAAAATCTTCAATCTGAATGATAATGACTTTTTTAAGAGAGAACAAAAAGATCTCTTGTTAAAAAAGAGTACGAAAAACTCTTATTGAATTTTCTTACTAAGCTTTAGAGGTTGCATTAGCATATTACATGTCTTGTTGCTTTACCATTTTGCAGTATTAATTTCCATAGGAGGGAATTGGTGTTTGACTCTGTAACATCTGCTGTATGTAAAATATAATTATCTTTCAAAAGTTCCTAAGATCTTTCGATCATCTTGTCTGCTAATTCCGATATGCTTATGAGCTTGCAGTTTGTGATCCAAAGAGTCTCCTATTCCTATTTGGGATGCAGTTGGACTACAGTGATGCTCTTATTGGCGGCGGTTTCTCTTTCAAGAACCCAAATGCTACGCAGACATGTGGTTGTGGAAAATCCTTTGCAGCAGAGATGTGAAATCATGTATACAAAAATGTTTGGCAGATATTGAATAGAATGTAACATATCTTTTACTCATATATCAATTTTAAGTTGATCTTATCCTATTACATGCATCATTGTTCCTTATGAATCCTTCTTGGACACTTTTCTAGTAGTTTTATTGCTTAGCTAGACTTTTCACAGGAAGTTATTCCTATGTTTTCCATCATAAATAGTTTAAAACAGTTGTCTGGTTTTACCATTCTCATATAGTTCAATTTTTATTTAATTTTCCTTTATTTTTTAATCTAATTATTACGATATGTTTTATTTAAACTTTATAACTAGTCCTTGTTTTGTTTTGGTGCAGTTGTTTTCGTAAGCAATTTTTTCGGGATTATCATATAACAAACAAGTTAATTTCTGTTTGAGTTCTAGAAGATTATGATATAATATAATGGTGTAATCGATTTCAAGTCATTCATATGGTTGTGTAATTTGTGATTTTACATATATAATGGTTCTTTTTTTTTTTTTTATGTATAAATTGTAATTTTTCAAGTAAAAAATGTGAACATAATATTAGAGAGTAAAGAAACTTAAAAAATTGAAGCAGAAGAAGAAGTTGCTTCTTTATTTATTTTTTGTTTGGGGAGATACAGCTCTCCTAATACCTTTATATACAAAACAAAATACTAAGACTATCTGTCAATTCATTTACAATTGAAACTGCCTGTCAGCTCATCTAACTAATTTTAACAATGACTGATTCAGCATAACAATTCATCCCTTCTTTAAGTTGGAGCTCGATGAAGATCAATTAAGCCCAACTTGGTGGTGAATTGATGGAACAAAGGAGCAGTTAATGACTTTCTTAACAAGTTTACAACTTACTGCTTTGAAGGAATATATTGTGGATTAATGAAACCCTTTTTATATTTGTCTTGAACTAGACGACAATCGATTTTAATATGCTTATTCCTCTTATAAAATACATGATTGATGGTAATATGTAAAGCTGTCTGGTTATCACACCAGAGAAAAATAGAAGTTGGAATCTTGACACCAAAATCCTACAATAAAGCT